ACGCTCCTCTCAACTATTTGAAGTCTTGAATAGGTTCATATGATGTATTATAACATGTGTGTATTGTCGGCTTTGGTATTTTAGGTGTTTCAGAATTAGTTTGGAAGAATAAAATTCATATTTAAAGCTTAAGTTGAAATAGTTGATCGGATGTTAACTTATATGTAAACGACCCCGTATGTTAACTACTGACTTATTTGGAAGTCAGTAGTTAAATTAGGTTTGAAATGGCTAAAATAGAAATTTAAGTTTGGAAGTTTGACCGGGGAGTTAATTTTTTGATATCGGGGTCGGAATCCGATTCTGGAAATTGGAATAGGTCCGTTATGTCATTTATGACTTGTGTGCAAAATTTGAGGTCAATCAGACTTGATTTGATAGGTTTCGGCATCGAATGTAGAAGTTGAACATTCTTAGTTTCATTAAGCTTCAATTGGGGTGTAATTCGTGTTTTTAGTGTTACTTGATGTGATTTGAGGCATCGACTAAGTTCGTACAATATTTTAGGACTTGTTGGTATATTTGGTTGAGGTCCCGAGGGCCTCGAGTGGATTTCAGATGGTTAACGGAATTTAATTTAGATATTTCTAGAATAATTCGATGTCGATTCTTCAAGAATACGTGGTATCACATTAAGCAAATGAGCTTCAAATTCAGTTTTGATTAAGCATTAGATCCGTATTGAAATTACGAAGCCATAGCAAAAAGAATAATCGAATTCGGACATCGTATGAGAGAGTTATGCCAATTTCCGTGTCGGAAAAGAAAACAAATCCCGTCACCAGCGCCCAGGGTAGCATGGGACGCTATCCCTGGCGCTGGGATATTTTAGAGATTCTGGAAACAGCGCCACAGGCAGCGCCCCACGCCACGTGTGGCGCTCCAAGCATTAAACCCCCCATAAACGGGGGATTTCGCCATTTTTGATATAAACAGAGTTGGGAGTTCGGTTTGGGCGATTTTCAGAGGCAAATTTCACCACACAACTTGGGGCAAGTGTTCTTGACTCCCTTGTGATTATATTCCATGAATTAATCTTCGTTTTCGGCGTTAGATTATTGATTTTTCAAGAGAAATCGAAGGAATTTTCTATAATTCCATAAAATGAATTTTCGAGATTTGAACATCGATTCAGAGTCGATTTGAGTAAAATTAGTATGGTTGAACTCGTAATTGAATTAGTTACCGGATTTTGTGAGTTTCGTCAGATTCCGAGATATTGGCCCCACTGTCGATTTTCGAGCGGAGTTGGGAATTTTTGAAAATTGTTAAATTGTAAGCATTTGAGTATATTTTGATTAATTTGCACGTTGTTTGACTAGTTTCGAATAGTTTGGCTTGGAATTGAGGAGATAGGAAGGCGTTCAGAGGTTGATATGTGCAGAGTGGAATTTCTGGAGTATTGTTTAGCTTGCTCGGTATTAGATTCGACTTGTTCGAGGTAAGTAATTCTTCTAAACTTGGAGCTGAGGGTATGAACCTTGATTATACGTATTTTGTGAATTATTTGGAGGTGACGCACATGCTAGGTGACGGGCGTGTAGGTGTGCACCGTAGAAATTGAGACTCAGTTGATTCCCTAGAGCTGTATAGTCAATTAACTTGTATTTTTTCATGTATTTTTATGTGTTAGAGAAACTGAGTTGTGACTCATGTTAGAGATCATGCTTAGGCAAATGCTGGTATTATTGGGACCCACTGAGGTCATTTCTGCTGCCGAATTATATGTTTAAATTGTAATTTCGTACTCAATCATATGCATTTATTGCATATCATATCTCAGTCTCTGTTGTTATTTATTGATACATCATACCATTATTTTGGGCTAGTTTTATGACATTGAGAGCCCGAGAGACTGGAGAGATTGATGACTGAGTTAGGCCGAGGGCCTGATTGTGACGTTATTGATACTATAACACATGAGTTGTCCGTACGGATCCAGATATTGATACTATGACACGTGAGTTGTCCGTGCGGATTCATGCCATGATTGACTCATTATAGCGCTTGGGCTGAAGGATCACCTCCAAATTTTGTTGACACCCCCACTGAGAGCAGGTACCTACTGAGTGTGAGTGTCGAGCGATTGGGAGGATTGACTGACTGTGAGGACTGAGTGACTGGGAGGACTGAGTGAATTGATACTCTGAGAGTATGCACATCTCATTGACATGCACACTTGACATATATGCATAGAGATGCATTTTCCTCATGTTGTACGATATTGCGTCATTCATGACTTCACATACTCATTGACATGTAGGCATAGAGATGTATTTTTCTCATGCCATTTGAAAATGAAACATCCTATCTGTTGTTGAAAAGTTTTTGGAAAAAATCATAGTTTTACAAAACGTACTCATATTTTGGTGATTTCAGTAAAAGATTTGGATTTTCGCTGATATATTTGAAAATCGGGCCTATTTTTCTGAAACTGTGAACGAGCTGAGCATTTTATCTCTGAGCTACTTCTTTTATTACTTCCATTATATTGTTATGAACTATTGTTGGCTATTGGTGTTGGACCCGACCTGTGTTCTAGCTCATCATTACTTTCAACCTAAGGTTAGGTTTGTTAGTTATTGAGTACATGGGATCGGCTGTACTCATACTACACTTCTGCATCTTGCGTGCAGATATTGAATGTTGATGTTACTGTGATCGACGGGAGCTGGATTTGAAGACGTACCTGCGTTTCGGTTGTAGCTGCCTCTTGTTCATGGTAGCCTTAGATTTATAAAAAACTATTTATGTACTTTTTCGAACATATGATGTATTTATTTCATATCAGTTTTGTAAATTATAATCTTAGAAGCTCGTGATTTGTACTACCAGTCCTTGGGGAGTGTATTAGAGTCAGTTAATTATTAATTGAATTGGATTGTTGTTATTTGGCTTACCTAGCGGGTGAGGTTAGGTGCCATCACGACTAATTGGATTTTGGGTCATGACAGGTACCTCAGTTGTTGTTCCTGATTATACGAGGCAGTACCTCAGTTTGATTTCATTATACACGAGGCGGTACCTCGTTGTGTTTCTTGCTGTGATTTCATGTTACAAAGTGTCGTGGAAGGAATATTTCTTGTTGTCACTATCATTCTAGTAGTTGTAGTCCATACGTGATCTTTGTATCACTTTAGTTGCTTCTTTTATGCTATTTCTACTGTTGATTTTCCTGTATTAGATCATGCTATCATCATGTTACGTTTTAGTTGCTTTCTTACTTCCCATTTTATATTCGTATTTTATTTTATACTGTCTATTCCATATCCTAGTAGGTATCTTGACCTGGCCTCGCCACTACTCTACTGAGGTTAGGCTTGATACTTGCTGGGTACCATTGTGGTGTACTCATATTATGCTTCTGCACATCTTTTTGTATAGATCCAGGTACGTCTGCTCGTGCCGATAGATAGAGATTCCTGCTAGTTGCTTTATTAGAGATTTCAAGGTATGCTTGCTCGGCGTCCGCAGGCCTCGGAGTCACCTTCCTTTATCCTCATTTACTGTTGTATTTGTTTTCAGACAGTAATGTAGTAGTTACTCTTATTATACTCTGTAGAGCTTATGACTCGGTTCCACCGATTTTTGGGTGTGTAGAGTGAGACTCGGTTTTCGGAAGGTTTTCATCTATTGTTCAGTTATTTTTCGCAATTGTTAATTCATATCTGTTGAGTTTTCATTATTGTTAGGCTTACTTAATCGTAGAGACTATGTGTCATCACGATATCTTACAGAGGGAAATTGGGGTCGTGATACTATTAGTTAAGATCAAGCTATTACTTGGGGACCAAGTTCATTTCTTTCTATAAATAGGAGGCTCCCTTACAAAGTTTATTAATTATCTCTTTCTAAGTTTCTCTTATTTTACTTTGTTTCACATTATTTCATAACATTAAGCAGTATTTAAGAACATATGACTTTAATTTTATATTGAGATACTGAGTTTGTGATGTCACTTAAAATCATTTATTTCAAACTCTTATTGGCATCATTATACTATCAGTCCTGATAGTATTAGTCGCTTTTGATTTATAATATTTTTTCTAAACATGCCCTTTAATTATTAATGTAGAGACTATATAAGAGCTAGCAATTTCTTTTTGTTGATGATCTGATCGGTATTGCATGTTTGACTAAGATGATACACATTCCAAAAAATTGCTCTAAATGAGATAAATATTTCATATTAGTTTTCTCGAATTTTCATAAACCACTAAAATTTAGAATCTAATAACTATAGTTTGCCTAATTACCATCCGTAGTTACTATTCAATTGTTACTAACTTATATCACTTATATTCAAACGCGCAACGAATACAACCTGTGTTATTCGTTCGTGCAACGAATACAACGTGTATCAACTGTATTAGTTCGCGTAATTGTATTTATTCGTGCAACGAATATAACTAAGACAAAATACAGAAATAAAGAAATACAAAAAAATAAAATATTCTTGAGACTTGAACTCGAGACCTTTACTAACTAAATGGGCGCTCTAACCTACTAAGCTATGCGAACTTATTGCTCTCTTGCTTTCAGTTCAAAATAATTAATCTTTTATTTCATGGATTTGTATAAAATTCAAATATAGCTACGAATAGTAAATTTGCTGAAAGCATATCTACGAATGATAAATATAATGTAAATATAATTGTATTAGCTCGCGCAATTGTATTTATTTCCGGTGTCGCGTAATTTTCCCGCCATAAGTTGCAGGCCAAAGTACAAATATAATGAGCGGAGGTACCTTGCCGTGTGCCGTCTGTACCTTTTAAAAAGTGAACATCTTTCTGGTCTTGATGTTGATTTTCCAGTTATAAATTCTTCATCTTGGTGCCTATACTATTGGTTTATACTTGAAATCAATTATCATCTTCAGCTATATTTGAAGTATGAAAACTCTATTCATTGAGTACTCAATTTTGAGAAATTATTCGTCTGTAAAAATAAAATTAAAAACCTTTCCAAACAAAGGGGAAGAGGGTTAACAAAATAAATGAGAGAAAACAAAAAATCCTCTATAGAGTTTACAAGAGAAATGAGATCATAAATACATGCTTTACATAAAACTAGCTAGCTAGAGACTACAACTAACGTATTAATGGGGCAAGGCTTTTGACAAATGATTTAGTACTTCTCTTTACTGGTTCTCAAAAAGTAATGATCCCACTCATGGTTTTCTAAAGTTCCAAAAGTATAATACTTCCAACTATATTCTTCATCAAATACCATACTATAATTCTTGCCTTGTCTCATTTCTTTTCTCATTACATCCACTCTTTCAAGAACCCCTTTCACTGCTAAATCAAATGCATCTTCAACAGTCTCCAATCTTGATCTTGGATCTGCATATACCACATTTGGTATTAGCTTTATCACTTCCTCTCTCATTGCTGCTACTTGTGATCTTGGTATTCTAGATAGTACATTTTCAATGCTTACTTTCTTTTTCCTTACATCATCCTCTGGAATAAGCACTGAGTATTTAGTGTAATCCTTTGGTAAATGCCATATATATTGAATATAAGCAGAACCTGGAGTAAAAAACACCGGTATACAACCAGCCAAAATGGAGTCAAAAGTAGACCTTCTAGTAAATGAATCACCAGAGGGTTGTAAGCAAAAATGAGAACTTTGAAACAGCTTCATAACATGAACTGGTTTATTGCATTTGTTGTGCAAGTCTTTGCATTCCAACAGCCTGCATTTTCGCCTAGTTGCTAAACACTGTTCCATTATCTCGCTTCTGATTGATTCCTCCAAATTTGGACGTGGGGCCCCCGCGAACGAGAACAACACCCTCCTCCTCAGCCTCCTCATCCTGTTTTGCCACTGGAACACATCATTGTCACTTGAAGGATGAAAGTATGTCGGATATGGGATCGCGAAATCATTCCTGTTCCAAGGACTCGATTCGATTGTCAATATTGTCATGTTTTGTGATTCAGGCAACAACATTAACTTGTTACCCCAAGCAGAATCCTCCTCAATACCTCTCCTAAAATCCCAAGTAATTCTACCTGCAATCATGAAATGATCTCTACCCCACATAGTTTTCCATTCGGGTTTTTCCTTAAGAATTTTTGCAACTTCAATTGCACCTGCATCCCTCATTGATATATTAAAATCATCCCATAAATACCTTGAAACATCAAAACCTGCATAATATGGCACAAAAACTGCTGCAGCTTTCGAAGAATCATTCGTTAAACAATCATATTGCTTCATTCTGTTATGAAACAACACTTCTAACGAGAATTGATTCGTCGTAAACCAACCTTTGCTTGAGAAAACTCTCTGCGGGTTTCCAAGATCAGGACCAAGTCCCATGTTAACCAAATATTGGCACATATCTTCCCATTTGTTTAACAATTTACAGTGCTTCAGCATGTCTTCATTGAACCTACTTGGTATTTCTGCAACATATATATATCGTCCTTCACATGATTTTCCTCCCTTTTTATCTTCTTGAGTTGCATTTTTCTCAACCTTTTCATCTTTGGGTTCATTTTTTCTTAACAAAGGTTCCAATTCTTTCTCAAGCGCCTCCAAATCAGGTACCACATTGTCATTTTCATCAACCGATTCTTCCCCGGATCGCGTCTCGCTCTTTGTAGCATCAGTGGTGGCATTATTAGTACTTGAAGAATTGAAATTTGAGCTAACGTTATTTTCAAGAAGGGGAGTTGGAGGAGGAATAAAAGTTGGACGAAAGGATTCAATTGAACTCGCTTCGTACCGTGACGTTGTTACAATTCCAGGTAGAGAAGACCAATCAATTCCATAAAGCAATAAGTACCAAGAAACAAAGAAAACAAAGAAAACAAACCAAAATTTATGGCGAGACCTTGTGGCAAGGGAGTTTTCCATCTTTTTTCCAAGGTTTCTTGATCTAATTATTATCTGTCTTCTATGGAGCATACAAATTTATGGCAGTTCTTGTGGAGAAGCGTCATGACAAAAAAAGAATAATATGATGATTTGGTTGATATCTAAGGGAGGTGATGCTATAAAAATGCCTGTTCTAGTTGGACTTTTCATATGATTTAATTTAATCAGTCTTTCTGACTTAATTTATTTAATTAATCCGAATTAGTATTTGGTTAGACACGTGTGAAGATCAATCCTTTAACTTATTCTCTCATACTCTCACATTTTATTGTAGAAGTAGTTAATATAAATCACTTATTCGCGACAATAACAAACTCAGTGTAATCCTACAAAGTTGGGTCTAGAACGCAGACCTTATCCCTACCTTGTGTAAGCGGGGTCTAAAGTTGCGTCATCCATGCCTAATCACTTCTTCTCAATATTTCTTAGAACTACCTCTACCTCTCCTTAGCCCACTATGGCCAACCTCTCGCACCTCCTCACTGTGGCATTTATGCTCCCCTTCTTCACATGTTCATACCATCTTAGTCTAGCTTCAATTAACCATATAATTATTCATTTAAGTAGTTAGAACCAATGTGGATCAATTGGACGAGCATAATATAGATCAACACTGTTCCATTGCTAATAATACTAGTATAAAACAGGTAATCCTTTTCAAGACGTAAAGACATAAACTTTTTGAACAAATAATTGAGTATGCTCTGAAAGTCTCACATTAAAATTTTCATATACTATAATTGAAGAGACCAACGTATCTTTATCAATTGACTAGATGGGAGTGCCCGTGATCTACACGGGCGCCCGATGTCACTATTTCTTTCACAATTAAATCAATTACTTTAAACTACCTTTAACTTCATAATTTTGTAGTAAGACCAACAATATAAGTGCAAATAAAGGCATTTAAGTGAACTTTAAGAATAACAATAAGCTTATTTAGTGGTCAAATTATCACTAACTCAATTACATAAAAAAAATTACAGTTTTACATTCTTATAATTCAAGAGCTCATTCACATTGAGATCACAAAGCATTTCCTAGATGATCCATTCTCCAATGAGTCCTCATGCAAAGTAGCAATTCACTTCATCACGGGTGTTTGATAGGATAGAACGACCAACTTTATTTGAGAGTACAACATCGAATATTTGTAGGAGCTTTGTAATGAAGTGAAACTGAAAAGAAATTCAAAACTTCAAGTTCAAATGTACCAATAGATATGAAATTTTGAATGAGCAGGAATGACAATGTATTAACTTGATTAGATAATAGCAAAATCAACCTAACTGTTATATCTGAATGACATTTCTCGTACCTGTTCAATGTTTCACCATATGGCTAGCTTTTTTTCCAATAATAATATTCATAACCTTAAAGTCCATCAAATACAAAAACTGGATGGTGAGCAACTAAAATTTAGCTCCTAAATCTCTTAGGTTCACACTATTCGGTACAACAAACTTTGCTAGAGGTACTTTAGATTTATTGAGACCCATCTCAATCATAGTCTCCTTGCATTTTTTTTGCTGATAAGGTTTCGCTACTTGCAACTATAACATAAAAAGATAGACAATAGACACAGAACTCTTTCAAATTAAGACTTTCCTATTTTGTCCTCCTTCAATAACTAACGTTTATACAATTATAGCACATAAAGCAGAAAAGGGAGGATTATTTTTGAAAAAAACAGATGACATTTTTATCTTCCATCATTATCACCTCTCTACATCTTCTAAACATAGTCATAAGAGTGGAAAAACAGAATGCGTTATCATAAAAATATGCAAAGGATATATTTCAAAAAAAGGGACTTATTGAACTCCTTCCCCAATAATATCTTGCATCAAAGTGTCTCAGCACTAGAAGCGATAGAGACATATAAGATGCCGCATGTTCAAATACAAAGGTAGCACCAAACCAGAAAAGTGTTAAAGGAAAAAACGATGGTCACAACATCTTATGGCGATTTCTGCCAAGAAGTTTATATCCACTCCTTTAAGAGCACTAATCTGTTCAAACAAAAGAAATCCATAAATGTTGATATAATTTATTTCAAGGACATAGAAAAGAACATGCATAATGACCACAAATAGAAAGTCTAAACACAAAGATACATGCTCAGATTTAAAGTATTTATTAGACAATATACGTTTCTCAAGCCCATCTTTGTGTTTGAGATTTATGGGATATGCATGAAGCTGAATCCAAGTTGCAGGGCTGTACTGATCCACATCCACAGTTAAGCACCTCCATCAAATTAGTTAGATGCAGTCATCGATATGCATTACATTAAATAATAGCTTTATAGATTAGTTTCCATTTGCACTTCTCACACTAACTTCACTTGTGATAAACCTAGCAGAGATGGTCCATTGTATGTCCAGGAGATAGAATATGGAGTACAAACATAAATATTGTCAGGCTCCAAATTCCCCAGCAGATCTTTTTCTGTTCAGGATTAAAACATAATGTGCCTAGACAGCGACTTCATGTGAATCATAGAGTACCGCAAATAGATGCACAGATATGTGAAGATCATGAATAAATTGCTTTTTTTACCTGTAGGTCGTGATGCGCCTTGAGATGGTCGTTTGACCCTTCTCGTAGGGAATTCGCTCCCCGGTCATCGCACTGTTGTATATGGCCTATCCTCTAGGCACGTTTGAAAGGCAGGGGGTGTGTCAACATACACGCTCCATAGGGCCTTCTCATCATTTGCAGGGTTTGGTGGCCCGAAATTGACCTACAGAAGTAGCTAACAGAGCTACTTGTGTGAACTATGTTAGAATACATGAAATCTTTACTCCATGATCAAAAAGGTAGGTAGTATATAAGAGAGAGTTGAAACGCATCAGCATGATGACTTACTTAATTAGACATTCCAAAGCATATGGAGATTTAAGTAAAAAACACCCTACCGAGGAAAACTTTTCAAGAAATATTATTCATATTTCGTGAAGCACTGCAACGATATGGTAATTAACATTAAAGAGGGAAAAATATATGTAAATCAAATGACAAACAATTGAGTCGTCATCCCCTTTACACAAAAGGAAATCAAACTCACCATAGCCTCCAAACAAAATTTTCCCAAAAATGGTTCATAATCTTTTGTTTGTTTTTTATCCTTTCCTGCAGTGATAGAGTAGAAGTAGGGTGTATGGAGTAAACCTAATACTATGTACACAAAGTGAAATAGGATCTAATCCAACAGGAATTTACAAAGATTTCACATACACACTCCTGTAGACTATATAAATGAATAGTAACAAATATAAATGGACAGTAACAAAAAAAAAAAAGATTATCCTACAAATATAAATCTGAAAATAATCTACTTCAATATGTCTCATGTTAATTTAGGATTCCTGGAAATAATGAAATTTACCATGCATGGAACGACATCAGCTTTCTTTGAGACAACAATTGTTGCATTCGTCTTGCTCAAACAAAGTGTTTGATGAAAATGCACTTTTTACTTTGTAGGATGTATGTGGATGACAACCTCAATTCCACAGTTCTGGTTTCTGCTAGAGCCATTGAGTGTACTCTTATCTTTGACATCACTGAGAAGCTTTTTAAAATCATGGAGGTAAGACTATGGATTTAATTGCCTCAAGAACTTTGCATTGGGAGATAGTTTCTTCTTAACCTTTGTGTTTTTATCAGAGGATACCAACTCTTCAGAGGGATGCACCTAATGCTCTGGTGTTTAGAAGTTGTCGAGTAATGGAAGAAGGTTTTCTCCATGGTGGTTTCTGGAAATACAATGCAGAACCTTCCAATACACTTCCTTTTGCCCGAGATTTTCTGGACAATGATGAAAGTGAACATGCTATTCAGGATGATGATGTTGTTGTTGCTGACCAAGATATAGCTGCAGGATTTTTTAGGTCGGGGATCCTTCAAAAGATTCAATATCTCTTGGAGATATGCCCCTTCTGATTGAGCGATGCTTCTTTTTTATTCTAGCTTGTGATTATGGGAGTAACTTGTCCAATATATAAATTATTTTGGACTATTTTTGGCACAACATTATGGAAATTCCCACGCCAGTTCAGCTTGTGCTTTGTCTATCTTTCTTTTTGTTGTTAGGCATCAGTTTTTCAAGCATTTCATAAAATTTCTACATTAAAGTCTAAGTTTTGTATTCTTAACATTTAATTTATTCCTAAAGAACACACATCTATACAATATGCATGACATATAAAATATAACCATTTAACATTATTTAACTAAACATATAACATCAGAGCAAAAAAGTGTAGAAATTACCTTTTACGGTCGAAGCAGCCTCACTTTTTCCCCCCACCTAGAACAATTTTCACCTGCCAAAAATTTGTGCTATCAAAAAATTCAGACCAATATATTGAAATAAATAAATCACAAATATCCGATAATGGAGATACAAAATAGTGGAAAAGCGTAAAGGCAGAACCAAATTTAAAGACCAATCTGGTTGCAAAACTGTCATAGAGGAGGAAGATTAAGAAATTAGGAAAAGATTATAATCACGTAATAAGAAATCAACAATAATAACGTATCGAAGCCAAAGAAATAGAAAGAACCAAGCACTGTTAATTTATTCTAGCAAGAATCATGGGTTTACCAACAAAACTGAATAAATAAGTAATTCTTATTTTCTATTGACACTTCTATGAGCTGAATTCAAAAGAAATGGAAATGAGATTCGGCCAAACAATTTCTATAGGACCAATTGCAATATTAAGGCTTAGTCTAGATGGCAAAGAGAAGGATACCAAGCCATGACTGCAAAAGAACAGTTGCATGTGATAAAGAAGTCTCAACTCACATAGCATCCAAGGTTTTCCAAGCCAAGATACGTGTCTAATTGTCCCTCTGCCCAAATAGCTGAATCTGCAAATATAGCAAGGTGCTTACAAAAAAACTATCCATTTCCCTGTTTCTCTGCAGCAAGAAACAAAAAAACCACTGATAACACCCAAAAACAAACCAAAAGAAAACACTGAACAAAAGGACATATGCAGAAGAAAAGGCCCTCGCCATCGTAGAAAGAATGTGAAGAAGGAGAGAGAGTAAAAAGTGAAAATATGACAAAAATGTCAAAGAATTAATCATTGTTTACCCTTATTTTCAGTTTATTGCGGAAATACCATTATGGACGACGAAAGAACTCACAAGTTTTATAGGTCAATCAAATGAACTAGGCAGACACTAAAATTCTTATTTCTGAATAATGACGTACAGTAGAACATTGCTGTTTCTTTTTCTTTCTATAAGGATACATAAATAATCAAAAGACCCAAAGCATTGTGGGGAGCATATAAATATCAAGGTTGCGATAAGATGAAAATTTCTCTAGCTTTAGAAATGAAAAAAGTTTTGTAGGGAGCGCTTCCCCAATAATGTGCCTTATGTGGTGCGACTTCAAAACAGTCAATCCTAACGTAGGTATCAAATATCAAATATCGGATAAGAAACTACAAAAACAATGGTATATTTCGTGGTCTTTTATTACTATTATTGCACTAGTCTGTTTTCATAATACAGTACTTATTACTTTCATATCCTATAAAATGAACTGTTTAACTTTTTCCTTGGTTTCATTCATTGGATTATCCTTATTGTTTTATCTCAACTTTCAACAGGGTCCTTATAATGCTCTACTTAACTAGGAACATCCTTTAAGTTTCTAAAAGATGACCCAAAACATCCTTCCGTTAAGTTTTTCATCCTTCTCTAAGGGCTGATATTTTATCCTATGTTCACCTCATTTAAAAAGAAATAAAATTTAAGAATCTCACGTAAAAAAGGACTTGACCTAACGAACGGGAATACCCTCTTCTTCAAAAAACTTTGCAGCACTCTTGCTTTCTTTGCGATCTAAGTTTTTTTCCAGTTCATCTTTTTCCCTCAAGCTTTAATGAGTCTCCATTTGTTTTTCAGGATTAAACACAATGGCTCTAGCACATAATCATATTCCCACGACTCAATTTTTCTCTCTAACAGTGTCATACGTACTCGCTTATTCCCACACCCTTCACATGCCACCCATCAACTGCAGGTTGACAAAGACTTTCTTCGCTTGGACATATTCATGCGAAAAAGTATTCATCATTATTAAATCAACGAGCCCAGCTTATCTGTGGACCACGACATCGATCTTACTCTCCATATATATGTTAGAAAGTACTTCTGTATGACCAAAAACCACAATATTATATATATTGGTCATTTTCCTGTGTTGTTTGGTGGGGTTGTCCCCTTCACTTTAAATTTTATGTTAGGATCAGAACCTGGTAGTGCGTAATTTAGCCAAACAGCGGTATAATGATAATAACAAAGATAATGTAAGTTGATAACAATAACAATTAAAGCATATAAAGAAGACATCAATTTAACGTGGTTCGATTAGTGTGATCACGTCCACAAGCGGAGATGAGCAATTTTACTATACCAATAAGAGTACAAAAGAGAGTACAAAATTAGAGTAAATACTCTAATTAATCCCAAATACCCTAAAAAATAACCTCACAAGATCACTCCAAAGAAAGGGTTCACATTCCCAGCACTAAACTCTCATACAAAACACTCTTAATAAAGGAGGAAAGAAAAAAAAAAAGAAATGAAGACTCAACTCTTGTTGGTGTGTCTAAAATAAACTAATGGTCTTTCCTTTGCAATATTTTTGTCAGTAAAGATACTTATGCTTATGTGAGATAGACTCCATTAGCCAAAATATTGGCCATAATTACATTTTATGGATTCTTTCTAGTTCATGTATAACATGAGTTTTTTAATATCATTCTGTTCTTTTAGTATATATTCATCAATTAGCTAAAACTATGCATAGACGCATATATATGTGAAACAGTATCGGCTTGGCTCTGTTGAGTCTTTATGCTAGGTTTTTAGTCACTAAAGAACTAAGGGAGACTACCCAAAAGCTCGATGACCAACGAGCTATGAGCAACAGAGCTGGAGATGTTTTTGGAGAAATTAAGGTTTCAGCCTTACCTTGTTTAAATGTTGTCTGGCCAAGTAAAGCTTTTTCTGTTCTTTGAAGAGCTTGTGGAACTTTTTGAAAAAACAGAGAGATACATGAACCTGAGAAAAAAGATTCCGTTAGAGAAGGATGAAAAACTTGATGGAAGGATGTTTTTGGTCATCTTTTAGAAACTTAAAGGGATGTTCTTAGTTAAGTGGAGTATTATAAGGATGTGTTGAAAGTTGAGATAAAACAATAAGGATGATTTTGGTCAAGCAGGACCTAATGGGCCAAAGTTCAGCATAGGTCAAGGTCTCCAGGTCCAACTTTAGACCCTAGCTAAGCTGTCTTGTGGACCCAAATCAGCCCCAAGTATCATACATTTATGCTACGGGTGTTAGATGATCAATTGACCACCATCGAAAAATTACATTGTATACATACGTAAAATATTATATTTTAGAGGTATATAACACATATTAAATATCATTTATCGGGAATTTTTTTCACTTCTTTTAAATTTGAACACCCTTTGGGAAATTACTAACTTCGGCGCCACTGGTTTGACCCATCTACTATCACTAATGTAACAACTTTTAAACCTACAACTATTCAGGTGCCATTTTGAAAAGGGTTATCTACCGGCTAGGTCGCTATCGACTTAAGACATGGGAAAGAAAAAAAAATTAACACATAAAAAATTTGGTTTAAGATAATTCTGCAAATTAGAAACAAATTGTGGTTTTGAGATAATTATCCCTGTAAAGTAGAAAATATAAGAACTTTGTAAAAATGGTTGTAGAAGACTGTTATCAATTGCGCATTCACATGTTTTAAATGTTTTCTTTAAGTAGTATAATACGAGAACAGTGTTTTCTAAAATTACTGCGTTCCAGGTGGTCCTTGCTGTCCTATAAATTTTTGTATAAAATGGTGTGAAGTATGGACATACAAGTACACGCATATTTTTCAAACCTACCTTCACCTTTATTTTTGTAAGAGTTTAATGATTATTTCCTTTTGTCTAGAGAGTGGTCAACATGACTGCAATATATTCAGTGGCGGAACAAAAATATTTTATCAAGGAAAGTTAAAATATAAAAAATTTAATACATAAACAAGTTCAAGGAATTCATTGCAGTATATATACTATTATTTTCTTACTTTATTTGTACGGAATAATATTTTAATGAAAAGAGTGTCAATTGAAACCCATTGAAAAACGGTGGCTCCTCCACTGAATTCATCGCTTAAAGCACCAACAAAAAAAAAAAAAAAAATCATAGTACTAACTAAAATTAAGTACCCTAATCAATGAAATATATTATCACTACTATTATCATCAATCTAAGTACTTCTAGGATCACTGTAACGAGAGTTAATAATTCCATCTTATCTTACCTCTTAGGCCTTAACTGCACTATGCTTTTCCAACATTGTTTTTATTTACTTTCGAAATGGTTTATTTCTATTACCGGTCTTAATTGTCTTTTGGCACCAATTTTACTGTATAATATGAGGCCAATCTTGCTGCGAGAACTTGTTTCCTTCTCCCATTAGCTATAACAGTGATTGACTTCTTTTGGCTTATGCTTTCTCCAATATATTAGTGTGATGTGATATCAGGCCATTTATTGTCAAAAAGAAAATTTTAAGAATCTCGATAGTTAACGTGCATAAAAATAATATTATTTTTCTTGCACTTAGATGGGATCTAAATGATAGTTTGGGCACATCACACATGGTAAATGAGACAGGCCGCCGGCAAGATCTAAATGAATATGTGTGTCCATCAAATTCTAAAGTTAATAGCTCTAAGCCTCAAAGCATTAATTTATTCGTAAAAAATTATTAAAATTACAACAAATAAATATAAAATCATAAATGTTGAACTTATAAAACTTAAATTATGGATCAACTTCTGTCTTTGTTGATGATTTAATTGCCGAAAGCTGAGATCTTTCATTACTAGGTATTAAAAATCAGACGTAATAACATAACAATGATAACGAATCACTATTTTTGATTGAATCACATTATTAATGAGCCTTAGGAGTATTATATGACTGTTAGATTGAGAGCTTTTTAGTTTTTCCTCTACTAGTAGAGCTCCTCTTGATAATTGTGACTGTGAACCACTAACATTTGAAATTCTATGTTTGTCTGATTCTTAGTTTCATCAGAATAGGTCAAAAGGCTTCTATTCTCAAAATGGCAATATGTACAATGCACAAAATTCAAAAGAGAGAGAAGTAGAAAAAAGGCAGGACTTCTTTTGTCATTTGAAAAGCATGCAGGGGTGAAATCGGTATTTGAGGAAACTTGAGAGGAGACTGGTATGACTATTTTTAAATGTTAGTTGAACAAATTGGAGGAAGAAGAACATGGGCTTCATAATAACGCGTTAAATCCAGCTCGCAAACAGCGGGATTTTTCAATATTCGCCTTACTTCATCAAACTATTAACAAAAAACTCATAGCAGACAAAGCTAAATTAAGGAAACAAATCATTACAGTAACAGTACTATATTATAGTACTAATTATACTCAAAAATTTACTGTACTTTCCTTCACCAGAAAACTACAGTCCATCGTCGGTGCTTGTCTCTTCCTTTCTTCTTCCCATCTGTCGTCTATTCTATTCTTTTTCTCTCTTTCTCACGTAATTACACGCATTTGACTCCCATGACACTAGCTTTTCTCCTCCTCTAAAACCCCCCAATTTCTCTCTGTAGAAAGAGGAGCTGAATTGGGTGCTCCATTAGCCAAATATGGGTCCAGACAGCAGTTTCGCAGCTCAGAAAAGAGGTGGTGGAGCACTACCTACCACCGCCACTCCCAACGGCGGCCGTGCCAGTTCCGTCTTACCTCGCGGCCGACAGATCCAACGTACTTTCAACAACATTAAGATCACTATTCTTTGCGGCTTCGTCACTATCCTTGTCCTACGTGGCACCATTGGTTTCGGCAACCTCGCATCCTCCGGAAGTGATGCTGAGAATGCGAATCTTATCGAAGAGACTAACCGGATCCTCGACGAGATCCGATCCGACAAGGACCCGGATGACCCGGTTGACCAGTCCGATAGTTTTTTCCGACTTAATTCAACTTACAGTTTAGGCCCGAAGATTACTACTTGGGATGCCGACCGCAAATTCTGGCTTCAGAAAAACCCTGATTTCCCTAATTTTATTCATGGTAAGCCTCGAGTTTTGCTGGTAACTGGCTCTCCCCCAAACCCTTGTGATAATCCAATTGGGGATCATTACTTGTTGAAGGTTATAAAGAACAAAATTGATTATTGTAGGATCCATGGGATTGAAATCGTTTATAATTTAGCTCATTTGGAAAAGGAAATGGCTGGGTACTGGGCTAAATTGCCCTTGATTCGCAAGCTAATGTTGTCTCACCCTGAAGTAGAATGGATTTGGTGGATGGACAGTGATGCCTTATTCACTGATATGGTCTTTGAGATCCCTTTTTCCAAGTACAATGATCACAATCTTGTTATTCATGGCTACCCTGATCTATTGTTTGATCAGAAATCATGGATTGCATTGAACACTGGTAGTTTTCTAATTAGGAATTGCCAGTGGTCTCTTGATTTGTTGGATGCGTGGGCGCCAATGGGGCCTAAAGGTCCTGTTCGTGAAGAAGCTGGGAAGGTTTTGACGGCTAATTTAAAGGGTAGACCAGCATTTGAAGCGGATGATCAGTCTGCATTAATATACTTGTTGATGTCACAGAAGGATCAGTGGATGGACCAGGTGTTCATTGAGAATTCCTACTATCTACACGGATATTGGGCTGGGTTAGTTGATAGGTATGAGGAGATGATTGAGAAATACCATCCAGGTTTGGGGGATGAGAGATGGCCGTTTGTGACACATTTTGTGGGATGCAAGCCATGTGGGATTTATGGAGATTACCCTGTTGAGAGGTGCATGAAAAGTATTGAGAGGGCTTTCAATTTTGCAGATAATCAGGTGCTTAAGTTGTATGGGTTTAGACATAAGGGCTTGTTGAGCCCTAACATCAAAAGGATTAGGAATGAAACTGATAATCCGCTGCAGTATGTAGATCAGTTAGATGTTCGACATGCAAAGCATGAGAGCACAGGACCTCAGAGCTAGTGACTTCACCAGCTGTCTGCACAGAAGAATCTGCAGGTATAAGAGACATCATTATGGTTTCTTGAATTTGTTGGTTAGATCTGTAATGGACTCTCAAGTGTAAACACGTCATAACTTTTAGTTTTCTCATTAGTTTATTGTTTACCATCACCATTGAATTGTTAATACTTTGCTATGGTTCATTTCTTTTCTTTCAAAGACTGTTTTGTAAGTGAGTCCCTATCTGCATTAGATTGCCGAGCTTAATACATGAAAACTCTTATTTGGCTTGTTAGTTGAATGTCCGACACTAGCTTTTATGCTGTGTTTACTGTTTTACGGTAGGGCTTTACCATCTAGTTAAAAGTGTGTTAATTGGCATAACTCTAGGTCTACATTCTAGCAGGGAGTCTTTGCAAAGGCTAGACCTTTTAGCTTAGCCTCCATCTTTAGGCCATAAAAGAAAAAGAGGAAAATGTGTAGAAACATAATTCCTGTAGAATATGCTTGTCGTTTGATGTCGGACATATACTTGTTGGTTTTTTCTTCTTTCCAAAATCTGCCATGTTTGAGAGTTGGGAGATTGAAAATCTTGGCACTTCTTCCTTCTCTTCCTAACTCTGATGCCCCCATCTTCTAGTTGGTAGCATTGATGGCTTGCCCTGATCTTTCTAACTTTTTTTTTAAGAAGTCTTAATCTTTCTAATTAGAAGCATGATTTACCTTAGGCTAGGGCTGTGGGGCATGTGAGAGGGACTGGATCATGGAGGACTGCTACATTCGTCTTAATCACAGAGCTTGGATTAACATGTTTCCTTCGACTTAAAATGTTCTATATCATCTGTGGTCTATTTTGATTATCTTTTTTTCTTATAAGAGAGGAGGGTTGTTGTAGATTGAGTTTAATGCAGAAAATGGTCAATTAATGATGAGCTCTCACAATGCATTACATGTATTAGTAAGAATTCAATAACCGATCCAACTAGATTGGAATTGAGGCGCAATTGTTGTTTGTTTTACAATAAAGTACATCAAGACATCCACCAGAAAGTCTTGGTGTTTAGCTTTCTAGTTCAACTCACCTTGTAGTAGTCACCATAACATCGTGCTGATTAAAGTATTTCCTTTGATATACAAATAGAGAGGCGGCGTATGTCTCTTAGAAATCAATGTTCATCTAGCAGAATGGTCTAATCATGCGTGAAAATCTATGCAATGATGTTCTCACGGTCACCTATTAAATAAATAGGGTTTACATGTTATGGGCTGTGACATAGTTGATTTCCTCTATTTACTGTCCAAATAATATATGTGGGGAATTTCTAGTAAATGTAAAACCACAGATTTGGTTGGGATGATGTTGGTTTTTAGAGACTGCAAATTTGTTATTCACTGTCATGCAAAAAGAGACTGAATATACTGCAAGTTGCACCAACTGTTGAAGCTAACCTGAAATCTGTGAGTAGACTTCCTATTCCAAAGTCATTTTCCTGCTGGATGTTTTAAAGAAGCATTGTGCATCAGGGGGGAAAAACAATGCCTTGTCAAATAAAAAGAAGCATTGTGCATCAGACCTAACAATTGAATATCATTATTTACATACTCTTTTTGTCCTCCATATTTAAATATTTTCCAGAGTTTCTTGACCCTTTTTCCATCCAAAATAAGTATTTCTTATCTTCTGCAGGGTGCAACTATGGTTTTGATCTGTCTTGGATGAGAATGGCACTCTTGGAATGAGGTGCGAGTGCTTCATCTGGTTGTTATACTTGGGTGGTGAAGCCTTGCATCATGGGGGATTGAATATGCCTTTTATTTGTTCTCCCAAGGAGGAAGTTTGTGTTAGTTTTGTTTATTTAGCAACATTTTAGTTTCTGAGAAAGCAGTTTGAGCTGTATGAAATGATGTACGTGGAAAGGAACAGCTGGAATCAAATAGAATGATTAGAATTTCTAGATAGTTTCAACATAAGTTACTCACTCTTAACCTGGGAGGTTTAAGATGTGTATCACACTTGTATAATTGCAATTCTTGGTTGTTTTTTTAAAATTTATGATTTTTTTGGGTATATCATAGTCGACCATAAAGAAGTTATTTGAACTTGGAAATGAACCAGTATCAATACATCTTTCATTCTTCAGCTTTTTTGTGGAAGTTTGATCAGTCCCATTATATTGATAACTTGTCCAAGCATATGATTGTTTGAGGGCCATGAAAATAGTGCATGTCTTTCTATAAGCTCTGCATAAATTATCATTTACAATGCCATTACATAAAATCGATGAAGCAAGCTATTTACAAAGATCATCCAGTCAATATCGTTTTATGATTCTATCATACATCTTGCAGTTGATAGATATCTGACTAATGAACAGCTAATCTGTTTCAACTTTTCCTCCAGTCATTGTCGGGAGTTGAGAACATTTAGTTACTGATGATGATCTCTATTAAAATAGTTTAAAATGAGACATTTCCATGTAGTACTATTTTACGTGTCTGAGTTATATTTGGGGAAAACAGAGAATGGGGGGAAGGAAAATAACTGAAATCAAATCACCACCTGGCATTTGAAACTACTGAATTTGACACCGAAGAACCAAATTGAGGCCATTCACTTTGGGATAGATACTTTTCTTTGCCGGTGGTGGTGTAGGATTCCTTTTAACAAACGGATTCGCAGTAAATTTTGTTCTTCCTCATTGTTTGCACCTGACTCTTCTAGCTTGTTTTTAAAACTGTTCTGTGTCACAATTTTAGATTGCAGGCTTTCCATGTTATGGGAGTGTCCTTCAGTTACAGAGATGTTTCCAGGGATGTAGGTTAAACACAAAGATAATAGGTTTAGCCTACTATAACGACTTCCAGCCTTGAGTCTACTTAACAAACTGACAGGACGCGGAATCAATGAGTTCGGTCTTCAAGCTTGAAAGGAATGGATAAGCGTAGGCTTTTTTAGTGAAGGCAGACCCCTGCTTATAGATAGGAGATCAATGACTTGTTTTCGTCGTAGGTGTTATTTCATATCTCTGGATAACAGGACCCCTTAAGCCTAATTAGTAGTCACATCGTTTGCATATCTGTGAACTTTAAGATTCAAAGATCTTAAATGAAAGCGAGCAGGAGTGAGTATCTGGACAAACAATGAAGCTTCTATTCTACCATTTTATAGATAATTTGTAACAACTGCGCTCCAGACTACAGTACAGTATATGTCAATGGATTTCGGGCATCCTCATAAATGCCAATCATCATTCTACAGAAAACGCAGTCCATTTGAGCATGATGATTGTGTGCCTATCATGACTAGAGTAGTTAATGACCATTATCCCTCGACTGCGTAATACTACATAATACTAATTTCAGCTAATTCTTGGACAGATTACCTTTGTGCATAGCCACCAATACCTGATTCATCTCTGCTATTTGACTTAAAAGTTGATTTATCCTCTGCACAAGAAAAACAAGCGAGGATTATAAACTCAATCAGGTAGGTAAAACTGATTGTAAGACTTTTTAACATGGGAATTTTTGCAAACACAACAAGGCCAAAAATTAACAGACCTCATCTTTCTTTGTAATGGTGCGTCTCAGCTGTTCCCTACTCTGTCTTGTAATCAATCTCCGTCGCCAACGGAAATACGCAAACAACACAAACATTGCCGCTACTCCATAGGGGGGGAACATACCCGTAACAGCCCTTCGAGCTGAAGTGAAACACCAGCGAAATATAGCAATGCCGTTGACTCTAGAAAACAGCACTTGCAGTCCCAAATTCCACCATTTTCCTCCATAACCATCTACTCTGGCTGGGGGTCGAGGACTATCTGGTACAGATTTTGACGGATCCACGGCATTTGAATCTGAGGCGGCGAATGAATAGGACGAATCATCGTTATCTCGATTGGAAGGTGAAAATGATGACGACGATAGCGACGGAGATGACGGGAACGGCGGTGACGATGATTGGCTATGAGTTTTCCCAACGAAATTTGTGGATATGTAAAGGTTCTCGTGGTTGACCGGAGGAAAGACAGCAGAGTCGCCGGCAATTTTATGGATTGAGAAGTCTCCGATCGCGACCAGAGAGCGAGTGGCTGGTGGTGGATCGGAAAGAGATTGTGAATTCCTTAAACGTTCCCATTTCTTAAGCTTTTCAAGCTGGCCTTCTGTTATTGCGGCTTCTTCTTCTACATCCGCCATCACACCATTACAGGCGCGCTTCACTAATCACTGACGGCCACTTTCCATTTTCCAATGGGAAGGAGTAGAGCGCATTGCACTACTTCCAAAAATGACTCTATGCATCTGAGGCCCGTGACAAATACATTCTATGGCCCAATTCCCTATTTCCTTTCTGGCCCGACCCGAAACTAGTATGAACTTTACTGAAATAGTTTTTTCCTTCTATTTTTTGAAAAATAATAACCAGCAACAATATATATTTTTTTCGCCGCAACTAGCAACACTATTAACCATAAAAGTATTATCCAGGTCACACCCTATTCGAGAGCCTAGTGAGAATTTTAATAATTTTTCCTATGAATGTTGTATGTTTAATTTTCTAATGTTTTTAGGAAGTAAACAACCAGAAGCAATAATGTCAAGCTATCAAAATATTTTACAGGGCACGCCCCGTTGCCCTCTACCCTTATTGTTTCTCTATTAATGTGCAGTAACTTCGGACATGAGGGAGGTGTTTGGTAGGATGTATTAGGAAAAATAATATATATATTAGTTTTGGTATTATTAATTTTTTGTTTGGCGGTGTTTATTCGGTACTATTCTTATATATATCTATGCTATATTAAAAGCACAAAACCCTTAACGAAATGTACCTAATGACATTTATGCCAGACCATAGCATTCTTCTCAAGAAAAGAAAGCGGAAAAGGTGACTGAATTTCACTCTTTATCATTCCTTACTACTCCTCAATTCCCATGCCAATGAACTTTAAGCAGGGAACAAAGCTAGGGATGGCAAGGTTCTTTATCAACGATGCATTTGATGACCGAATAAAGGAGAAAAATCAAACTTTAAGGACCATCAAAAAGAAAAAAAAATGCCAAACCTTCTTCTTCCTGGTCCTATCGAACCAGACACTGAATACCTGACCTTAACTCAATCATGAAACTGAATTTCCAAGCGGAATGATGAGAAAAAAAATCCATTATTTCAAAAAATCTTTCCGATTAGATCCGTACACGGCTATTGCTCCGCGGCGATACAGACTCACTATCGTACTTGTCAACTTTAGATTTACGCAACAATTCCAAGACTTAGCCAAGCTTCCTCCAACAATCCTGTCAAGGCAGTTGTATCAAAGGTAGCTTCCCAGTTTGAGCAAATCTAAAGTTGACAAGTACGATAGTGATGATAGATTAATTCAATTACCACTTGGTTGAAGATCTAGTGGTGCTACCCGAAGATTTAAAGAAATCTGATATTATAGAAGTAAGGGATGAAGTTATAGAAGGTAAGGCTGATGTTTCAGACGCTTGCATACCTGTATGGAAGGAAGAAAATTATTAGAACTCTCGATCAAGTTTTGAATGACTTTCTAGTCAGATCGTTCCTGCGTTTCGGATATGAAGTCTCCTTCAAAGCATTAGACTACGCATCCAGTCAGCGCATAGCGAAAGCCGTCATCCTGGATGTTCTTTTCGTATTTCTTGCTCTCCCTTAGCAGCGGGAAAGAAGTCTATCTATCTACCTAGCTTTGGTAGATTTTGTACAATTCAAGGTAAGCATGGTTTTTATCCTATAGAGTTGTAAGATATTATAGTATCACCATGCTATTCAATAATATTAAAAATTTTCAAAAATAAAATGGATGAGATTGGGTCCAGAGAAAAAGTACCTTGTGAGGGTGCTAGATTCAAGATGAAAATAGTTCTAATCTTCCCCACTTTTTTTTTAAAACTGCCCAAATCTCATTTTGTGAGTTCATGACACAATGGAACATCTTAGACAAGATGAAATTGAGGTTACCTTAGCCTATGCCCCATAGAAATTGTCTCAGCACTGAGTTACTTACGTTACGGTATTCAGCAGGTAGGCTGCACTCTGGGCGATTAGGAGGGTTCGCTAGACCAGCAACCGGACCAAGAATGAATGTGTAATGATGGTGATTCTTTCGCCTTTTTTATACTTTAAAAATAAATTCCACATAAGATAGAATCGTAATTTAATTATTATCCTAATATTTAAGACCAAAAAATATAGTTTTTCTTATTAAATCACTCATTGTTTGAACCAGGTATGTAATCCTAATATTTAGAATTTTGAAATTCATTAAAAGCTTACCTTAACATCCCTAATTTAGCAACTAAACCATAAAATATTTGCTACGTTTGTTCTCCTCTTCACAAATAAGAGATACTATAATCCACTAAATACATTAATTAATTAATGTTTATATCTAGAATAAATAACTAGTAGTTAAAACTATTTTGCATTTCAAATTTGATGTTTATCAAAAAAATATTTTTTAGTAGTTCATAAAATATGTGTTAATTACTATAAGAATCATATAAAATTAGCTCAGGGTATGAATGAGTTAATTTGGCTTCTGAAAAGATTAATCAAAGTTATGAGGCTCACATTAGAGATAAATTCATGCATGTTATTTCTCATAATCTCTATTTGAGTTAGAAAAAAATGTGTCATTAACTTTTTATGAATTTTTTATTTCTACATTCAGAAGAAGTAAACAAGAATCTAGGGGAAAAAAGCTTAACTTTTGAATGTTAAAAGAAATTAGAATTGAGTGGGATTTAGACTTAGGCCAAAATAGAATATATTTGAATACAATAAATTTTAGACTTAAAAATAACTCTGATTTGTTTATCGGGATTCTTCTTACAGAACTTAGAGTTTTAAAATCAAATTCATTAATATTTGATATACCAATATTTACGTGATTTTAAAAAGAAAACAAATTATGCTCATTTAGACGGGAGACACGCACAACACGCGTACATAAAGACTAGTACGTAAAAAATCATGACATTAGCAATACCATATTTTTTAATAAATGGATGAGCATGTATAAAGCCAGAACTACCCTTTCAAATCCTTTAATATACCAAACCAAACATTCAATAAAAAATAA